GGGAAGGTATCGCAGTAATTCGAACCTATGCTGACGTCGGTATATTTGGAGTTGTTGAACGACGTAAGCATTTTTTCTTAGCTCTAGTTTTATTACAATTTGTCCAGGAAATGGTATAGACATTAAATTCGGCGTTCAGCAATACATGTGACACTAGTTCATGAGAGCACCGAAGGAACCTGTCCAGTGAGACAATTCTTAATGCCAGGAGCAAAGTGCATAGCGGGGGAGCCAAATCTATCACTACCGAAAATAGAACATCTTCATCCCGATTGTAGAATACAGGCGTGAGGTTGAGAAGTCTGCGAAAATATGGTTCTTTCTTGTTTTATCAGCTTTGAGGACCACGAATCTCAGTTTTGATAATGGAGCCCGTAAGAATGCACAAGAATACATTTTATGCACGTTGAATTTTTGAGTCAGGCAAGTTATAATACCTACCTATATCCAGAAACTCCTGACGAAATGCGGTTCTACCGCATTTTGACGACTTTTCAGTAATGGAACTGAAAAGAACGTAAAACACCATATATACTCGGACAAAGGGTTTCTAGGATAGCCAATCATTCTTTTCCTGACCAAAAGCTTCAAAAATTGGGGAAAATCAGGGAAAATGTGGTTTTTCATGTTATGCAAATTCTGGAAAACAAATCAAAGTTTTGATTGTGAAACCTGAAAGAATGAACAAAAATTCATATATACCTTGAATATTTAAGTTAGTCTACTTAGAATATCCTACTACGTTTAAGCTGACAAACTCACAATTTAGTTTTGATCACAATGCAGAAGTGGGCTGCCTGTGCGATTCCCTTAGATTTAAGCTTTGTTCCAACAAACCACCGAACTGATCCGAAACCGGTTCTAAACATCTCTAATAGTTCTGGTTCTGAGAAGGAACTACAATTTAGAATTTGATAGCACATGCGCGTTTACAGAATAAATGGCGTTCAAGCTGGGCTGGATTTTGTAGCGGCTATTTTGTGCTTTTTCTAACTTTTCAATATTTTCATATATCAGACTTAAACCTCAACCATTCATTGTGCCATTTATTACATATATTCAAAAAACGGATGACGATGAAGACTCAAGGAGATTCAAGGGAGGATGAAGATATTGAGCGGATTTCTAAACCCCAGTCTAATAATTTTGTTGAATTTGCTTCAATTGTATTGCTGGTAATATTTATCTTACGTAGTCCTTCCATTTCAAATCAATTAATACCTTAGTGTTGTTAACATTCGTAGTAGAGCATGCTTCATCTGAAGGCAAAATCGTGAATTCTTTCAGCTTTAAAAAAACAATACATCATACTATATTACTTTGAAAAATTTGACCAAATTACTCGTCTATTGTTTAACCTGCCAACGAGTACCTACTACCAATCAGAAATCCTAAATTTTACGTATAGCTTATGGAAACTATACGACAATGAGCCATGTAATTTTATCTGCTCCAGCAGAGCAGTCGCAAACTAGATCTGAACGATAGTTATATCGGAAATCCATATAAGAGCAATCCGCAATTAGCTCTGAACTAATTAAACAACGCCGTTGCGTCTATTGTTCCACCTTATCCCTGAGATATGGGATGCCCAAACCTCTGTGAATGGTTTCATTTGACACGTACCATGGGGCGTGCGTGGTTGTGCGTAGCATTTTTTTTAGAGAAAAGAGACTTTAAAGTAAAATAGAATCTGACTACGCCGCAATGCCAGCCGCAAATTACGACGGAACGCAGTGTAAATAAAGGTGGAGTTTGTTATTTTTGGCTCTTAGATATTATTTCATTATTTGATAATGTACTCGTAAAATGCAAACAATTAAACAAAACGGACTTACCGCTAACTGTCTCAGCCCTTCACCTGGTGTGTGAAAGTTTATTGAAGGTATTAAAAAAATCAATTATCAATAGGAAACACAATTTTGATACATACATTGCTTTTTCTTGTTAAAACACTTTTTTGTATTCAAAGAAGGTGTTCAAAATGTCGTCCTCCGCTTTACACACAAGCTTCATTGCGACGAACATAGTTTCTTCTTACTCTAGGTCCTCGAAGTTGTCCATTTATTATTTCAGCCGCATTAAATTTTTTTCGCGAAGTTGCGCTTTAGTTGTTATTGGACCAGCCCCATAAACCATCATCCCTTTATGTTCTCCCCAATACCAGAAATCCATCGGAATGAGGTCAGGAGACCCTGCTGGCGATTTTCGAGGATCAGGAGCATTTCAACCGATCCACCGATTTGGATAATGTTCATTCAAATACTGAATGACGCCTCTAAAAATGTGTGGTGGTGCCCCGTCATGAAGAAACCACAAATTCTGTCTCCGTTATAATAGCATGTTGTCTAAGGTCTGATCCAAAAGTTCTGGTACGTTATTGGCTAGAAAGCTAAGGTATCCTTCTCCTGACAACTTTGGGGGTAACTCGAAAGGGCCAATTACCTGATCGTCAAGAATTCCCGCCCAAATATTTATTTTAAAACGTTGTTGGAAATGGCCTTCACGAATGGTATGACGATTTTCTTGGGCCCACGTGTGCGTATTATGGAAATTTTATATCCCGTCTCGCATACATTCGTCCGTCGCTAGAATGTTTCTAAAAAAATCCGGATTTTCAATGTTTTTGTGCAAAAACCACTGACAGAACGTTAGTCTGAGAAGATAGTCTTCTGGTAACAAGGCCTGCCTCGTTGTACATGGTAGGGATAAAGCAAACTTTCCCGTAGGATTCTATGGACTATGGTAAGCGATAGTCCCACGCGGCGGCCTAATTACCGAGTGCTGATATCTGCATTGAGTTCCACGATATTTAAAATTTGTTCTTTCTGCTCTACATCAACCTGTCTTCTACGAGTGCGAATATTAGGGGGTTGAACACTTCCTGTATCTCGAAGTCTTTGGTTCACTTGCACAAATGTCCTTCTGTCTGGGTGTACCCGTTGGTGAAATCTGTCGCGATAAATTTGAGCTGCAAGATTTGAATTCTGACAAACTTCACCGTAAACTAACAACATGTCGGCGAACTCTTGATTCGAAAACATTGTAAACAAACACGACGACGTACGCGAACAAAAACAAAACATGCCCGATGCCCGATAACTAACTACTGTTACCGTTTGCAATCGACTGTCAGTTCGATAAGAGTGATGACAACGCGCTGTTATTATGTGTGTTTTGAATATTTAATTCAATGAAATTTACTTACTCACTCACTACAAATTTTGGCTTAATTTAGAAAACCTTAATGCCATTTATTTGTCAATAACCCAATTTTAAAACGTTTTAGATTAGATTATAATAATTAGTTAGATTGCGGTGATTGTGGTCAATATAAAGGACTTAAAGTTGTAAACTATAAAGCCATTTAGACAAAAATCTATTGACTTTTGGACCATGGGTCATATGAACTTTTTGACTTGTTTTACCCATTTGAATAATTACTACCTAACATAAGTGTACACCCTGTATAATCGAATCTTGTGGATCAGGCTTGATATTGAACTCCTGCACCACAAAGCATGTAGCTGAAATTATGTCTTAAAAGTGTCGGTGTACCAAGTCAATCTCTTGTCAAATGCTGAGTTACTTGTCGAAATATTCTACAAGTAGGCTACGCCAATGACCAGCAACTTAGCTTCACGGTGCGCCGTCTAGCGTCAGATTTCGAAGCGGTAAGCGGCACACCAAAGGGGCGCAAGCAAGATCATGTTCACGGGTCGGTTTACTGCCGCTGGCCACAGGGATAATTGCATCCCTTTTATATATGAAACACAATCCGTATAAAGTCAGGGCGGTTTTTTTATACCGCTCATCGTTGTATGGTTACCGTGCGCTTACTGGAGACCTTCCTCATATCCAGTTTACGACCACTGCAGAATGTTAGGAGTTTCAGCGGCAATTTATGGAGAGCGTTGGTTGCTGCATGAGGAGGTAAACGAGCCTTTTCATTACGGTACAGCACCGAGATTTATGGTGAAGGCTAGGCAATGCCGTCCAGATCTTAGGCGAAACCACGCTTCTCATCGTAACTAGTCGAAGTCAAGGGCTTCTCGATGAGAAAACTATGCATTGGACATACCTATAGAAACACATTCAAGAGATTGAACTTTGAAAGTCACATTCACAGACATGTCTTGAGGCTTGAGTGTCATTTGGGGTAAGATCTCTCCTTGAAAGTAATGAATTAATAAGGTTCAAGGAAAGATTTAACTTAGAGGTGATTGAATATTATTCAAAAAATCTTAGTTTAAAAACCAACCCCTGAAAACCAAAGCATGTTTTATTTGTTCGAAACTAGCGATTCTAAAGTCTAAATATGTATAGAAACATAATTATAGGAGGTATTGCCGTTGAGCTTTGTACACGAAGCTAAACATTTGAGAATAATACTGGATAAAAATTTAAGTTCCTATAATCATACTCGTATAGAGTAGGCTCAGGATATTCTATTATAAATACAAATCGCTTTGAGGTATAAGTGCTTAAAAAGCGATGTTAAGCTAAGACTTATGAACTCATTAATCGTCATACTCTTAGACTGTGGCATTGATGCTAATTACAATTTTCTAACAAGAAGTGAAACAAAAAGTTCAAGCTCTGCATGCCTGTTGTATGACATTTTGTTTCAATGAGATCAGCAGGCAGGAACACATCACTGGCTATTATTTAATGGAATATATTTTGAAGTATAAATATCTCTGACTGCTCCTCTATGCCGCTTCATTATTTAAGATTTCAGAATTCAAATCTCCAAATTATCCTCTTAACGTTTTGGAAAAAAGATCGTCACTTCATCATATATTCTTAGAATTCTCCGACACATGCTACGAGGGATGTCTTTTAAGTTTTGCATACAGAAACATAGTAGGCCGCGCGGCCGAACGTCAGTACTGAATCTTAACCTCACTCTTTAGTAAACTTAAATTCAAAGTTTCACAACAATACGTGCAGTGTCCTCACTACAGTGAATTCCTAAGTGTCACCAAGTCATTAGCAAAATGGAACTCAACCGAGAACATTTGCGCGCCATAATTTATTACAACTTCCAGAGACAATTATCGCAAGCAGAATGCCTTGCTGAGTTACTGTCTGTTTTCGGCAATGAAGCGCCACATCAATCGACAATTTCTCGTTGGTATGGAGAATTCAAACGTGCACGGGTGAGTCTTAGCGACGATCCCAGGGTGGGTGCACCAAAAACGGCTGTCACCCAGGAAAACGTCGATGCTGTGCGCAAACTCATCATTGAAGATAGACATGTGACATATCGCGGGATTGAGGCGTCCTTGAAGATCTCAAAGACCTCAATTCAAAAAAGTTTACATGAAGAATTAGGAGTGAGAAAATTAGTTTCTCGTTGGATACCCCATCTGTTGACTGAAGAGCAGAAAGCAGCCAGGGTTAATTGGTGTAAAAAAACGCTTGACCGTTTCAATTCCGGAAACTCAAAAAATGTGTACAGCATTGTTAGTGGTGATGAATCGCGGATTTACTTTTATGAACCAGAAAATAAACGACAGTCGGCTGGTGTTCCAAGGTGATGAAAAGCCAACAAAAGTGATCCGTTCTCGAAGTGTTTCGAAAAAGATGGTCGCGACATTTGTGTCACAAGCAGGTCATATTGCAACAATTCCTCTTAATGAGCAAAGAACTATTACTACGGATTGGTATACCACCATTTGTTTGCCAAAAGTCATCATCGAGCTTCGAAAAATCAACCCCGAAAGAAGAATCATCCTCCACCAAGACAATGCAAGCTCGCATACAGCCCAAAAAACAAGGCAGTATTTAACGGAAGAAAACGTGGAATTATTGGACCATCCTCCATATAATCCCGATCTAAGTCCTAACGATTTCTTTACTTTCCCGAAAATTAAGAACAGAGTTCGTGGTGAAAGGTTCCAGTCACCAGAAGAAGCAGTTGACGCATTCAAAAATGCCGTCTTAGATCTGCCAGCAAACGAGTGGAGTAAGTGCTTCGAAGATTGGTTCGAGCGCATGCAGATGTGTATAAGTCTTCGTGGAGAGTACTTCGAAAAACAATAAAGTCATTTAGAACTACCTACCGTGTTGTTTTATTTCCATATGCAAAACTTAAAAGACATCCCTCGTACATCAAAATTTAAATGCTTATATTCCAATGCACCTACTATACTGAATTCTATCCAGAGCTTTTCAAAGCAATATACATCGTTAGTTTCAAAAAGAAATTTTGAAAAGAGTTTCTAAAAATACAATTTGATGAAGCTACTAGAAGCTGTACAGTATATTTCTGGAATGATAACCACTACTGCTATTTTTTGAAATTGTTTATGGTGAACATGATTTTCTCAGACTTTTTATATTATTGTATCTACGTACATAAGTTCCACAGGCTGGGGTGAAAAATGGCTCTACCAATTCCCAGCCCTTTGTGGTATTATTGTTTTGTATTATGTAGTCAAATATCTATTCTAATATGTATCAATACTCCAATAAACATTATTATCAAAAAGAGCTTTCTCTGTTGGTCGTATCTAGCATTTGGTCGTATATTTGAGGAAGTTTTTTTTTGTGCTGAATGTTACTTAAGAATGCAAAATACTGTTTGCGCTTTCTTGTATTTATAGGCAATAGGAGAATCACAGAAAGGAACTGAGTACAGGAAACGAGTATTGCATCGGAAGAATTGTGATGGTTGTAGATCTGATTCAACGAAACTACTACCCAAACAAGTCGAATACTCCATACGTAAATGTTCTATTTTCTTCCAGTACGGTGACCTTCGAAAACTTGTACCTTTCCAGACGTTATTGATCAAAATAGAAAACAACGTTGTTTTGCATGTCCCTGACGCTTTCTGGTACACATTCTCCGTTTGCTCTTAAAATGCAGTCAACAAAAATTACTACCGGAAGAAGTATTTGTTCAAACTACAAGCCCTGAATTGAGAAGACGCACATGGTTAAACCCAAGCTTCGACCGTTCAAGCTTCTACTAAAACAGATAAACGTATAGCTTTCACAGACATTCCACAGCTGTAATGGTTGACTACAAAGATACAGTTTGTCTATAACCAGTTTATTCTCTGTGTGATTCCGCTATTTGCTAAAAGATCTGGGAAGCAAGCAATCACTATTTGACGCTATTTGGTGTAATATTCAGCACATACAAAAAAAACTGTCCCAAATCTATTACCAAAGGGCAATAGACATGGCCAGCAAAGAAAAATCTTCCTTCTACATATTGTCGCGATTTGAATTGATTTGTATAAACTAACATACCTGAATTAGAATTACGCTTTGTATGTACTGTTACTAGAAACTGTCAATGTTGCGTCCTAGGATCTATTAGGGCCGTATCGTCAGTCATTCCTACAATAATTGATGGCCTTCTTGATTTTCTACTGTTGCACGTTACCGCTCTACTTACAGATATCTATTCACATCAAATTGTTCATGCCTTTGATTTATTTCGTCTGGTTCGTCAGCCTGAAATATCCTGCAATTCAAAAAGGAAACATGACCTCACAGTAGCGGTGTGCTCAAGCTGACAAGGAACAGTAGAAATCTAGTAATTTCCCAGCCTTTCCGAAGAAGAGAAAAGACTGAAAATCAGAGGCAGACCGACTGTCAATAGGGCCCTAAGTCAATTAGACTGCAGTTTTTGTAGGGACATATTGAGAGTGAGGATTATCGCCATTACTTTCATCATGTATATACCCGAGTCGCTCTGCAGTTGGCGAGTCAGAAGCATCTTCGTTGGCGAAGTCTGAAAGCCACCACCAGCAATTAGCATTCAAAATTGAGCAAGGCGAACATTGTTCACACCGTCAAGTAAATTGCTAATTGTCTGGGGCCTCGAAGCTGTGCCGAACATGTACAGCTAGAAAGACAGCTCCGAATTAATTAGCTTCTGGATGCAATTGCATAAACATCACTCTGCAAGGCGTAATCCGATTTTTATTTGTCACGCCAAAGCTTTCGGCTCACAAAAGTATTGTGATTGGGATACCCTACGACTTAAACATATTGAGGGTTATAATGTTTGAACGTGGGGGCTAAATACAAAAATCGCCCTCAAAGGTATCCAGATTTTTGCTCGAAAATGTTTAAGAAATTCACCAATCTTACATTGTTAGATCTCACATACCTGAAATTTTTTGTAGGTTTGAGGAACGTAAGGATATGAGAAACATTTTTTTTTCAAATTCGTTTCAATTTTTTTCTTAGGTTATGGAAATTTCGACAGCTGCATGACAATAATTTCTTTTTTCTAACAAAATCATGAATTTGTGTCAGGGAATCCGCCCAAAATATAAATAAATCCCCTCCGAAGCTTAACATTTTTAAGCATAGTATGGCATAAGTCGGCTAACTTGAAAATTCAAGGCGTATATGCATTTTCTTAAATTCTTTAAGGTTCAACAGTCAAAATTTTAATCCGCTTTCAGAAACATTGTGAGAATAGAGAAACCACATTTTTGCTGATTTTCATCAGTTTTTAACGTCCTTGATCAGATAAGGAATACATACTTGGTTAGCACCGTGACCCACCGTATATATGTACTTTTTACGTCATTTTCAGTTTCGGTGCTGAAATAATGATTTCTTATCCAGAAAATTCCTTCACTGACCTAAAATGTTAACAACTGAAGAAACAGACCGAACATAGGCTTTTTTATTTATTTTACAGCTTTCAGGACCACGCGCAAAAATAGATATGAACGTCATGAAATCACCCTAGTTATAATACCTACTACGTATATTCAGAAAAACCTGAGAAAATGCGGTTATTCCGCATTGTCACGACTTTCTGGACTACAATGGGTTAATAGGCTAGACAATCATTCTTTTCCTGACCAAAAACATAAAAAATTGAGAAATGGTGGTTCTTCATATTTCGCAAATTCCGGGAAACAAATCAAAGTTTTTATTGCGGAACCTGAAAGAATGAACAGAAGAAATATATACGTTCAGTATTTAAGTTAGCTTACCTGTAATATCCTACATTGAAGCTATCAAAAATTGGAAAAAGTCGGTGAAAATACTGTTTTTCCGATTTTTGCTCGTTTTCCAAATAAGAATTCTTGATATTGTCAGTAGATTTGGAGAGAATACAAAAAAAAACTGCTGGCAGATTTTTAAGTTTGCGAAATCTTTACTACATGAGAATAATTAAAAGAAAATCAGAAATATTTGTTCTCCAAATCTATGAAAAATCTTGATTATCTGTTAATAACAGTGTAATTTGTTCGAAGTTATTTGAGCAAAATTGCATCAGTAAAAATGGATGGTCGAAAAAACACGTTTTTGAGGTTAAGGGGTGCTTACTAGCGATTTATCGATCTAAGGTGATTTGAAGCAACATGCAATTGGGATGTATCCAGATTTGGGTAGATTTGGACGAAATTTTCATATGTATATAGTTTCGCTTACAGCCTCATAACCGTGGTCTATGAAGTGAAAGATCACTTTTTTGCACAATGCTGAAGCCAAAATCATAGCTTTCGGTCGGAGTGTTAAGGCAAAAAACATTTGAACTATCGGTTCTGCTTTAACTTGGGTTTTAATGCAATATTCAATCAAAACCTGTTAAATTTCGATAAAGCGTAAGTATGATTGAGAAGGTCAGATCATTCAAACTAAAAATTAAAAATCTCTTAGTAGTTAATTTGCGTTGAGATGTAAGGAACACGCGACAACAGTGCCATACAATGGGCCGAAATAAAAATACTAAGAGCAGTGAAGGGTTGCAAGCGGGAAGATCGCTTCCACAATCTTGTCATAAGAGATGAGCTACAGATTTTACAATACAAAAGATCATCTACAGTACAAAGATTGAAAACTGAACTTACTCCTTACATTTCTGTTAAACATAAGCCAAAAAGGACGAAGATAGGTGTCCGAGAAATAGGTGGACTGTGGAATAGGAGCAGGCCTTTGACTTAATCTATTAAGTCGATGATGATGTTGATACAGCTTTACGTTTACACAGCTAGTCGTGAAACAACTGACCATTTTCAGTATTGTGCCTTGTAGAAAGGACAATTTCTAGATCAAACTAATAGGTTGAAGAGATTGCAATAAGGAACTTAAGGACGCGTGTTATTTCAATTTTTTAACTGCCGTAGATTAACAGAACTGGGAAAAACCTCCCCAGGTGGACTGCTCCACAATCTCGGCATCTCGACACCAACGAAGGAGCAGTTTTACCAGCCAGTTCTCGATGTGCGATGTGCGAGATTTGAATTTGAAGCACAAACCTGACGGGTCCATCTGGCATGCTCAATGCGCGGCGGCATCTTGAAGAAGTCTGATGCCATAGCTCGGTGACAGCGGTTAAGGAAAGCAAGATCATCCGTGACTGTGAAAAGGTCCCGACACTGTCCGTCAGAGAAGTATCACTGATCAGTCAAACAGCCTTCCTCTGAATACCACCGAGTATGTGCAGTGTACTCAAGTTTGCAGAACTCCAAACATGTGAACGATACTCAAGGCTATATAAAGCCTTATAAAGAAGGAGGAAGTTGTGCGAAAAGAAAGCACCTCTCAGCCCTAAACAAATAACCTAACTTTTCATAGGCAGCTGTTGCAATTACGAGATATGTTCATGCCAAATCCGATCATTTCTAGCGATAATGATAGAGCTTTTGGACGAAAACTAATAGCTGTATATATTTATTGTTCAGAACCAAAAAATAGCGTACCAATAACACATACTATTTCAAACTACTTAATCGGCACCAAAAAGTGGACTGAAAACAATATTTTATCCGCAGAATAGTATTAATCCTAACGGAAATATCATTAGTAGCTTCCGAAACTTCTCATCACTCACGCTATGTCAAAAGTCCTTCAGAAAAAGGCAACCATTATTTCGCTCACTCATCTTATAAGACTGGAAGAAACGATTTTGAATGGCATTCTCTACTGGTTTATTATAAGTGTGCAATAATTATATAGCCCGACGAAAATGAACTTTTTGATTGAAACGTCATCCCCCGTCGAGTTTGTGTGAAAAATTTAATACGAATTTCTCAGTAAAGAATGCTACACGCATAGAAATATCAACGGCAACATGATGGA